CCAGTGCATCTGGGTTCTGATTAAGGAGAATAGAGAAACAAGGCTTAAAGCTGTTGTTAGTCTTCAATATATTAACAGATGAATTAAAAATATATATTTAAAACTAAAGCTTGTTAAAGCAGGAGAGTGGGATCTGTATGTCTCACTTAGACTGCTATAGCTAACTAACACAAATAAAAACTGTTGTGAATGAGAAACGCTTTACAGAGGGCAGAATATTTTAGCAAACAGTAGAAAAAAATATGAGTAGGAGCATAGAGGAAGAAACAAAAATGTGGCAGAATTGGAAAAGCCATGTCTTAGCATCACTTTGACCCGATCAGCTACTAGAGAGAAGGATCATGTAGGTATCAAGGTAAGAGACAGATAATTCAGTCCCTAAGTCAGCTTGTCTCCTATGCCAGCCTTTTCTAAAGGTTTCATTTCTCCTATTCTTCACTAGAGAAAAGAACACGTATTTCTTAATATACAGCTATTTCTCAAAATCTTTATAATGTTCGTACCGCTTTTCAAGCCAATTTCCACAGGAAAATTAAGAATTTTATTCCTGCTTCTAGCACTGATGTCAAATCAACTTTAGTGTTGTAAGTGCCTCTTCCTTATTTCAGTGCTCCCATTCTCTGATCATACTTGCTTTGACTCAGCTAAATAAGCTAATGTACAACGTGGAAGTGCAGGGACTGGTGATTTCCCCCACTGTGTTCCTGCTTATTAGAATTAACTTACAAATGAAAGCAGCCTAACTGCTTTTCAATTCCCGTCACGACAATTTGTCCAATTCTCCTGTGAGGAAAAAAAAAATTGCACTTATGGCCACAGTAACAATGACAGAAGCCTTCACTAGGCAACTCTTAAAAAGTCCATTTCACTCAGAGCGTGGCTTGGCACAGCAGGCTGTATAGACATATGTTCCAGGCTAACACACCCCAGAACAAAAAATTTCTGAGGGTTGCTCCAGCAGCTTACACATTTGAGTAACTGTAGCAGAAATGATATGGTGTACAAAAAAGACTTTGGAAGGGTTGGAAAAAATGGGCAAAAATCTTCCTACTCACAGGCAGAAGAAAAAGAATTGGAAAGAAGAGTCTAGAAGAAACTGGAGTGGGAGGTAGGAATCTACATGGTACACAGGCTGATGATTCACAAAATGATTTTCCATTTGCATCAGGCTGGCAAACTTAGGACTTGATCTTTCAAACACTCATGAGTATGGGTAATCTTGTATGTGTACCTTGTTCTTGGTGGCTGGGGATTTGTACCCTTTACCATACTGCGTAATGTCTTATCCCACGCACCTACTAACCGATGCCAATGGCTGCATTCATCATGATAGGATGGTTCATTAGAAAAGTCAAAGTAAGGAAGGAACTAACAAGGGCAGTGAAAAATAATAATAAAATACTAATACATGTGTTGGTTGCCTAAGCAGCCCCAGGGAAAACAAAGGACATTTGAACCCAGTCACTGTGCACCAGATGCACCCAGGAGGATTTCAGCTGATAAGGCCAAGCCAGGCAGTGTGTGGGTGGAGGTGACAGGTGCTTTTCTGATGACTCCCACTCAGGTCAGATCCAGAACCAGACGTGGTGGATGCTCTAGGCCACAATGCGCCCCATTCCTGCTGTGGGCTTCAACTAATCCTATCTACATTGAGGGGGTGGGAATGATATGCCAGTAACTGAGGCCAGCAGGCTGTGTGAAGGGACAGGAAAACCAGTGAGGTACTGAACAGATGAAGCCTTATCTTCTGTGTAGATGGAGGTGCCCCAGCAGAACTGTGAACTTGGAATGTTGAGCTAAAAACCACTTGCCCTGAGCATGCTGGTGATCTGTTGTGCCATAGTCATCAGGTAATTTTTTCATGAGGTGGGAAATGTGAGTCTTGAGACCACCCAGCCTTCCAGGAGAGTGCCTCACTGAGGTACAACTGGGCCTTTGGAAGCAAAAACTTCCTCCCAGACCAGTGCTGTCCCCAGCTTGTGACAGCTGAGCTTGTTTGGAGAAACCTGGCAATGCTCAGGGTCCTGTGGGCAGTTCCTCCCACTCCCCATACTCCACCTCTTTCAGAATGGCTGCCAATGTATCTTCACCTCCCCTGTGTTGGCCCTAGTGGCATGAGTACTAAAGCTCATATAATAAGTCCAGACTGACTCAGAGTCTGCCTACAGATACAGATTTATATCTGTTGCATCCACCAGTCTGCCTATTTTGAGAAGAATGATGGACCCTGATAAGGATGCATGCCCAAGCTCCATGGACATGTCTCCAACATGGTCTGGCCAACTTTAGGTGCTCAGGCACGTCAGCTGGTAGGTACTAATATATAAAGCATTCATAGAATGGGGACCACTGCTCAACTCCTCCTGTCAAAGATGGGCCAGAGCATTGCAAATACCAGTTCGCTCATTTGTGGCTGTTTTCCAAGGTCCAATCAGTCAGAAACCCTCCCTTTAGAAAAAGGAGATTGGGGAATACTATGTTTGAAAATTCCCTCCAATACTTAGGCATGTAGTGTTTCGCCAAGATCCACAGCCATGCTGCCCTCCCAGAGAAACATAAACATCAAAGAGTCTTTAGGCCTACACTACAGTACATCCCCACAATACAGTAGGGATGCTGAAGACCCTATGCTGGATGTAGCTAATGTAATGACAACTAAGCATCGATACCCCTTTGTAGATCTCAATCCCATTTGAACTTTTGAAAACACTTAATTGACAATTTTCTACCTCTTTCAGTGTGAGGTAATACCCTAGTTTCATGAAAAAACGTGATGTCTGGTATATGCATCATTATGCACATAGGTGCTTAAGGATATGGTTAATCTACAGACTATGACGGATTGCAGTGTGGTAAAGAGACAGACAATCAGCCTGTGATTAACTAGTGTTATAGCACAGATGCAACAACATGATGTCCAGAGGAACCTCAATAAACTTGAGGACTGGGCCAGGAGACATATCATGACATCCAAGGTGAAGAAGCACAAAACTCTGCCCATCAGGTGCAACAACCTTGAGGTACAGGCTGCAGTAGTAGCACATAAGTGGTAGTGGATGGAAATCTTGATGGAGAACTGAGTGAAATGAACACAGGGGTGAATCCAAGCCACCAACACCTACTATTTGTAAATACGACAAATCATGTACCTGGTCACATTCAGAGATGAGCTGCCAGCAAGTTCATAGAAACTATTATGCTCCTTACTAGACACATCTGGAAATCAGTGTATGGCTTCGAGTCCCTCAGTTCAAGCAGGGCATGGAAAACCTAGAGAGGGTCCAGAAGCAGGAGATCAAGTGGCCAGGAACTGAGAGCACAGCAGTGGTGAGGAAATGCTGAGGGGACAGGGCTTTAGTCTGGCAGAGGGGAGGTTAAAGGGTGATCTAATAGCAGCTTAAATCTACCTGAAGATCAAATACAAAGATGACAGCCAATCTCTTCGTGGTAGTGCCAAATGATAGTTTTGTACAAGTTCTAAAAGCAGCTATTATACTTTCTGAAGCTTTTTGACAAAGAGTTATCTTTATTAATCCAAACTGAAAATCCTGTCAATCCATTTTAACCTTCTGCACTTTTCCCACTTGGGTAACCAGAGATGGAAACTGTTTATTAGACGTTTTCTTTTTTCCTATTATAGTTCTATTTGGATAGAAATCAAAGTATTCATAGAAAGTATATCAAGAAAACTGTTATGAAATTAAGGCTTTTGGTTGAACAAGAGTGCACTATTTTAGACTTGATAAAAGAGGCATGTTTGGAAAAGCAAAGAAGCAAAATGAAAAAAAAAACAAACATATAGTTGCTCAGAAAGTCTCAGTAGGTTTGTTCTTTGTTTGTTAACAAGTCAAGGTGATAGTTTTTCTAATAAGGTGATTTTTCTGAAATTTAATTTTGGAAATTGATCAAAATTCCCCAAGCAGAATGTTTTGTTTCCCTTTGCTGAAGTGAACCTTTTCTTTTAGAGTCAGCATGGCATTAATTTCAACTTGCTAGAATTGTTACTGTGCTTAGTAGGAAATAGAGCTCAGGAAAATCATGTCCCTACTTTATGATTTAAGCTTCCCGGCAGATGGAAGTATCAGTATCACCTGATGTGTCACATTCATTCAACTTACTGGCCAACGATGGTGTAACATGAAGGATGCAGTTCAGATCTCAGAGGAAGAAGAAGGCTGCAGCAGTTGCAAGAGCATCTCTCACAAGGCAGCACTGCAGCTTTGATGAACAGAAATGACTATGGATGTAGCAGAAAAAGGTTTGGTTTAACCCTGCGAAGTAAATCAAAATATTTTAGAATCAAATAAAAATACATGAATGAACATTTTCTTGACATAGTGTAAAAAAATCCACAAAATAAAAACTGGAAGGCAGGGAAGATAAAAAAGGAAAACTCAAATCACTTGGGGACTATTTTCCCCACTAGAAGATGAAAAAACAGTCCATTTTTCTCACCACCTGTTTATAAACTTGCACTTCACAGGAAGGGCCCATTTCTCCAGGTTCCTGACGACATTCCCACAGCAGCTCCCTGGGGTCCCCCCACCACCCAGGACCCCATCTCAGCCCTTGGGGCCATCATTCCCTTCCCCAGCAATGCCGCAGGCTGGGGACCAGTCCCCTTGGTCCCATGTAATGGGTCTTGTCTCCAGCTCTGTCCCCAGACCCATGACCCAGATGGGACCCCATGCCTCTGCTCCCTGCCATGTTGTGAGCACTGCTATGATGGCCAGACTAGCTCCAGCCTGGGCACGCAGCACCAGTGCACACCCTCGTGGCTACAGAATATGATAAGTAAATGTCACTGTGTCTGTCACTGGGCCCTGCTGTCCAGGCAGCCCAGCAGCCCTCTCCTGAGACGCCAGGTGTCGTCGCCAATCCAGCTTTTCAGGTCGGGACGATCTGCAACTTTCTGCTGCCAGCCTGCCATCAGCATGACGCCCTTCCTCCTGCAGGACCGGTTAAATATTAACACCGCGATATGCATATTGGGGCGGGTGGGAGGAGGCTGGGGGGGAAGACACAACCCTTTCCTTATCTACTGAAGGGACAATGTCACACCGAAGCCCAAGCCCAGGAAGAGGTCGGCACTCCCGGCCAGAGGTGGCAGCGGCTAGGCCAGGGCCTGGGGAAGGATTACTCCAGGAAAAAAGGTGAGAGCTTGCACAGGGCTGGGAACGTGGCTTTAAATGCTGGCGGTCTGTAAGGGAAAGCGGGCGGAAAAACTCTTGGCGTTCTGGGGAGGCGATCCACAGGCACTGCGCTGCCTTGGCAGAGGGAGTGGCTGGGAAACACAGCTTAACCCTGTCCCCAGCTCCTGCCTTAGTGGGGCTGGTGGTGGGATGTCGGCAGCCAAGTCTTCAGGCTGATACTCTCCCCTTCCTCTGGTCTGGGTGTGGGATAGGCTCAGGTCAGGGCAAGGCCAGTGACACCAATCGCCAGTGCACCTGTGGACCAGGAAAAGATCACTGCTGGAGATAAAAAGTGGCTGGGGCTAGCCCCAGGCATTTAATTTACCATCAGGCAAAATACTCTGTTTCAAAGAGATAATTTTTCTTTGAAAGTCCATTTTGAAATGTACAAGGTAAAACTGAAAGCTAGGGTTCCCTTCTTTTCCCTTGTCATTTTACGTCACCCCAAGTTATTTACTGATCTTGGACTGAATTGTACACAAGGTCCTAGCACATTTATTTTCCTCCATAACAATTTGCTCTGCTGAGTTTGTATTGGTGCAAGTAAGTTTATAATTGGGATTACGAACCATGGCTGCCAGCTTTAGGGATGTGCTGGCTCCCAGGGTGCTTTCTGGACCTGCAGAGAGTCACCTGGGTTGGTAACTTCCTAGAAAAGGACACGACACTGTCATTTGGACTTGTTTCCTGGTGTTTTGCTCAGGCTGCTTCAGTTAATACCTCAGGTAATACTAACACTGAAATGCCACCAGCTAGCGTGTGTATGTGTGGGAGGCTAGGGCAGTGAGAGAGAAAGGAGAAACCCCCGCCAGTCGCACACTGTGACCCTCCCCTCAGCTGCCTGTGCCAGGCTCCTCCACACACAACCCTGCAGGTGAGCGTGTAGCCAAGGAAACACACAGGCTTTCAAAATACCTCCGGAAAACCCAAGGCAACCTGCAAACTAACCCCCTTCCCAACCTACAGATGAAGAAATCAGCACACAGGCTCAGTTTAAAACGTTGATTAATTCACAGCGCTGCCCTTTTAAATTTGTGGGGCAAACTGAAAGCTTGCAAAATAGAGAAAAACAAAGCAAATTGCCAGCAGGTCACGTCACAGCTGCCACAATCAGCTGTGCCAGACCCCCGTGTCCAAAGCACAGATTAGTGAATGGAGCTCTTGTGGTTTGTCCCTTGGCACAGTCTTGGTTTAAGGAAGAAGGCGATAAAATGTACACTTTTGACAGCAAACTCAGTATATCTGTGGTGATACTAATATTTATGCACCGCCGCAAAGAACACTTCTGAAATCAAAAACACTTTCCTGACAAGAAGTTTGAGCTGACCACAAAACCTCAGCCTCCGGCCTGCAACCTTTTCACGATGGAAAGCTTGAATTTCCCAGCTGAGAAGTTTGTAAAACAAGTAGCGCAGTCAAAGTGCCTCCCACATATTTTGAGGGGGAGGAGAGTAGTATCACAGAAGTGAATCAGAAAAGCTGGAAAAACAGATAATGCAGAATTAAGGTGATGGCTCCCAACCAAGCTCTGTATCCTATCTCTCTCTGTCCACTGTGGAAAGCTGATGGTCCTTTATTTTGGGGAGTAAGAGCATAGTTTTTGAATCCTAGTTTTGGAATAAAACATATAGGAAAAGCAATACAATATTTCTGGGGATGTAGGGATGCATCGGGATGTATTCCTACTTCCTACCCTGAAGGCTGCCTGGCACAGAAGGCATTCCTTCATGCCTGTTTCCCAGGTGGGACAACAGCCCCTCCATACACAGGTCTGCTCCTCTGCGGCCCCAGGGGATGCTGTGGCCCCGTGCAGTTGCTCTGCGTGACAGTAAGTGATGGAGCACAGGGTTCATTAGCCTGCCAGGACACCGCCAACAGCACAGGCAGGGCACCCACCACACAGACACACACACAGACACACACACACAGACACACGAAATTGCAGGCAACTAAGAGAATTATTTTCCCCAGCTGCTCCTGATTAACTTTAATGATGCAGACGGGGCTTTCCTGACACAGTCAATCCTGAAGCAGTAGCGTTGTAATAGCCAGGATGGACTGCGGGCCTGAGGGATGTGAGGTCTGGAGGGGGGGGGTTTCTATGCTGAAGTAAGGTCTGTGTGCTGAAAGCTCATCTACTTCTTTTCAAACAGTTGTTCTGAGAAAAGATACTGTTTTCCTCCCAAACCCTGCCTCATTTAATCTTCTCCCCTTTTTTGTTACACAGGTCACATAAAGTCACATTTTGTCAGAGGACACAAAGCAGCAACTGATTTCCAAATTTCTTGATGAGTTATGTCCTTCAGCTTCTTCTCAAGCATGGAATGACCACCGGTGGCTTTCTGCCTTAGGGACCAGGAGAGAATGCTCCAATGGAGGGGTTCCAGAAATTCATTTTACTTCTTTTCATCTTATCTGCCTCGCTAACAGGTAGGACACGTTCATAACCCATGAAATGAGCCATCATGGACTACAGGTGTGAACTAATTTTAAAGCTATGTAAATGGCAGTTACCGGCAATATCAGATTAAACAGTAAGTCCCAGAGGGGGATTATTCAAAGTGTTTTAAATGGATAAGTTTGCATTTAAAGTCTGGATGTTTTAATGGCTTACAGTGGGCTTCAGTATGCAGGACTGAGCAGTGGATGGGGTGGAGGGAAAGTGGCGAAGCTGCCCTCTCGCTTCCAATGAGCAGGGATGTCCCCACTCATTTCTCCCTCTCCTTAGCTCATCCTTCTCCTGTCCATTCAGGACTGCTCTTGATGGGACGTCTGCAGAGAACTCAAAAAAATAAATAAATCAGCAGCTGATTTTGCTTCCAGAAATATGTGTAAATTATCATTTTCCTATTTGGCCTCCAATTTACATTTCATTTGCCTGAGTCTCATACTGAATTCAGATAAAAGGTATCCTGGTGGCAGAGCTTTAAAGAAAATGAGAATATAAAGTGAGTAGTTGGGTAATGGAGACATGGCTGATTTGTTTCTTGTAGTCTGGCTGGGGTTTTAAGAGGCTCTGAAAGGATGAGAGGGATGGTATAACTGGTGAAAGGAAACACAATGCAGCAATATACGGTGAGTTCTTTGAGCAGAGTGGTGTTCCCAGAGGAGTTGCACTGGGATGTGTGATATTCAACAAACTCTTAAACAACCCCATGAAAAGGAGTATGAACTGTGAGGTGGCAGACTTTGCAGGTGGTGCGGAATTACTTGGGACAGCCAAGTGCAAAAAGAGACTATGGGGATTTGTCAGAAAATGTCACAATGCCTGAGTGAGTATATAATAAAGGAGCAGAAAATATTCAGTACAAAGCATCACTTAACTGATGATGTATAGTGAGGGAATAGTATAGATATCTTTGGAAAGAGAGAGCAAATTGCTGAAAGAGAGAAAATTTCACCACTTAGTGTTTTCAACAGAAATACAACGACATTGGAAAAATCCACAGAAAGCTTTTATCTCAAATACTGGATGTTGTGTTAGCCCTTCCATTTCCAAGTGGACATACTAGGTCTGAGAAAGAAATAAAGTGTGACAGAGGTTATTAAAGGTATGAGAAGAGGATTCATTAGACTGGATTATTTTTCTGCTCCTGAAAAAAGAAATAGTAAAGATATTTTAAATATATGAATGAATGGTGGAGTGGCTGGTCAAAATTTCTCATAAAAAAAAGAACTAATGGAAGGTAGTAAAATGACTAGAAAGTAGATTTAAGGCAAACCGAAGTATGTACTTTTCCTCACAGGATGTCATCCAGTAGTGAAGTTCATGGTCACTGGATATGGGTGATACCAAATTACAAATAGGCTGAAAAAAGTGAAACAATTATCATGGAGGGTGGATCCATATGTGCTGATGCAGTTGTTGGCTCAGGCAGTCCCTAAATCTTGTAATTTTGAACATTGAGTAATTATTGCAAGGAAGCCTCAATTTTCTTCTGTTTTGCCACAGTGGGGTAGTGGGCAGTGCCCACACTGCGCTGTGCAGCCATGGGATCACACCCCAAAGCAGGGAGAAAAAGTGTATCGTGGGGAGAGGAAATGCAGTTCTTGGAAGAAGTGTTGCATGCTCTCGTGATTTGAGGAGGTGCAAGGCCATGCGGTGCGGCTAGGCTGCAGAGATAGCTGCATGGCACAGCTGGTTTGAGCATCTTCTGGCTGGCACCACATGCTTTTCAGCATCAGTAGCATTGCAGATTGCAGGGTTGGCATGCAGTGCAGGGTCCCAGCTTGCTGTCAGGACACTGGAGATGCTCCCAGCACAGGGACTCTCACAACTGGAGACCATGGAGACCATGCAAGAGGAGGAGGAGGAATCCATCAGCAGGGCTGGGAGAGGTTGCATTAGGCATCTGTCAAGTAGTGACTGAGAGAGGAGATTGGGAAGACACTCTTGGGGGCTGTGGAAAGGTTTGTGTGGGTGACAAAATGTGTCACTGAGTACCAATAGACCAGTGTTACTTGACAGAAACGTCCTATATAAGCATTTTAAAACCTTGTTAACATCAAAAAAACAAACAAACAAAACAAACAAACAAAAAACAATGAATACATGCAACAGGAAGGGATAAGCAGTTTATCAGGCGCTGATGTACATTCAACATGCTGTTGGGAAGGACTGAGCAACAAACACTTGGCACTTAAACTTTCACCATTGGTGACCCCTTTCTAGGTGTAAGTGATGTGCCTCAAAGAAGGTGTCCCAACAGAGCTCTGTGCTTCAAAATTCAAGGAGTAATGCAGTATCATGAGGACCGTCTGTAACTTCGCTACTGCAAAGACATCAGTGTGGTTATTTGTCTGGGTGGGATATTTTACTGGTTGCGTGTGGGAAAGCAGATGTTAAACCAGCTGTTAAGAGCTGAACACATAATTCCTGTGAAGTGCGATGGCAATCTAGCCTGAGGCCTTAATTTGCCTGAAAGCAACCATCTGCGAGATATTTTTTAAGCAGTATGCAAATGAAACCAGTGCTGAAATTTTCTCCCTAGTGCAGGAAGCTAAGCCCAGCAAAAGGACTTAGAGCACTGGTTTAAAGCACTGGTAACTGTGTTTAGATCACATTTCTGTCATGAATGTCCTCTTTGACCTTACAGAAGTTACTTTATCGGTGTTTGTATATGGGTTGGACAGTGGGACCCGCTATTGGTTTGGGACTTTGCATGCTATTGCAAGATAAAAATTTAAAGCAAAAAGATAAAGAGGCAAGGTTATAATCACAAAATAATTTTTTGGCAACAGATGGAGAGGGCTCATAAAGCTCCATTTTGGTTGTACTGGGGCTTTCCTGAGATCCAAATGAAGGCAAAGTTGAGCTACTTTCCATTCCTTGATCCTCTTGCGACCCATAGGATCCCTATCCAAGGCTTATGGATCTGTTCTCTAGCTCAGGGAAGTCATTGGAAAGCCATCTGTTGTTCCAGCAGGTCTGGTTGGTGGAAAAAAATGTAGATCCCACCATACCTATGGACTGATAAAAAATGATTATATTAGATAAATAAAGGAGTAACTCATACCTACCTGCTATACTGTCCTGATGGTCTGAACAAGACAAAAGCAGTATGAGCCACACATTTTTAGAGCAGATGATCCCTGACTGTTAATGTTTAGGGACAAATTTCAAGACTATAGTGGAACTCACAGACGTGATCTCATAGCAAATGATTAATTAACAGCTAACAGAGTACTGAAAGTCATTTATTCAGAGCCATGGCAAACCATTATGCTCCTTAAGAAAGAAAAGTGTTTACACAGGCTAAGAAATAAAATACAAATGCACAGATACCAGCTTGCATTACGGGGGGCAGTGTGAATAAGTACTGCAGCTCCTGCTTCATGAGCAACTGAATTCATTTTAGTGTCAATTCTAAGGATGTTTGTGGACAGCTGAGTCTATCATCATGGTAGCTGTTTATGTCCACTTCAACCAAATGGGAAGAATTCAAACAAAGTGTGAGAGTCAAAAAGCTCAGTACATCAACTTGTTGTAGGCAGCATGGATGTACAGGGAGCAGTATTGTAAAGGCTGGTGACAATATGAGTCCAAAAAATATATATAATTCAAAGATGAATTTGAGCTTAGGACAGTGTCTCAAACCCAGTAATATCAGTTATGAACAGAAATAGTGGCAATTGGGTGCTGAATATCAAAGAAAGGGGTTGTATTATGTGATGTATGTGCTCACCGGAGAGTACTTTCTCAGTGCACTTTCATTAGAGAACTGGTAGCTCTGTAAATGATGCCATGGGCAATCACTAACATTCAGAGTCACAAACAGAAGAGAGACAAAATGGCTTTTTTTTTTTTTGTTGGGTTAACTGTTTATAAAGCAATGTATGAAAGTATGCATATAGATTTGATTGCTAAGTTAGTCTTCAAGCTATTTCATGATTTATAGCATTTCAGTTCACCTTTACAAGACTGAAGAGAGCTTTGAGTAAATGTTACTGGGAAAAAAAGAACCATCTAAGTCAAACATTTAACGTATCTTATCTGGCTTTATTAACTATCAGTAGAAGTGAAGTTTGCTTTTTATGTAATGTTTTATTGCTCACATACAGATATACTGTGGAGAATGAGGTGCTTGACAGAGGTAACATAATCCAGGAATGTGCAAAATTTTTGTGAAGGTTTTTGTAAATAGGAGAGAACTCGGAGTCAACCGAGCAATGAGCCAGGGAGAGCTAGGTTTGTGTAAACCTGGAAAACAAAGAATGAAAAGACTCTTGTCTGTAAACACATGTGGTGGGTGGGAGGAAAGAGAGGAGCTATTTATATTAAAGAACGATTCTTGGCACAAAGCTGGGTAGATATAAACTCCCTAGGATTAAGTGAGAGCTGGGAATTAGAGAATGATGTTGACATTGGAGCAATGAGATTATGGGCCATATGCCTTGGGTGCATGCTCCAAGGTTCTGTTTGTAACGTTGTACCTGAGACTGGGCTCTGGTAGCATTTATGCAAGCGTTAAATATCTCTTTTGTGTGAAACAATACAGCATATTCTCTCCTTCTTGTGTCAGCTAATGACCGAATAGAAAATGACTTTTTCAGTAATTTGTGAATTAATCCATTAATAATTAAACTACCTAAAATGCACTAAACCCGGGTTGAATGAAATCTTTAAAACCATTTCATTGCCCTGACTTAGCAAGGGAGTAACAGCCCTTTCACTCTCTCTTTCTCCTGGAAAATAGCTGAACACTTAGGCTCAGGCTCAATTTGCAGACACTGGGTTTTAATTACACTGCTATGGACTGTAGCGTCTAATTGCTGTAACGGTGCAGAGCTACAGCTTGAATCATTAGAAGTAATGCTGGCAGTCCTGGTGCTTCTGTGGGATGAACGTTTGCCAGTAAGTGATGTAAAACTTACTGGTGAGTTAGGTCTCACTGGTAAATCTGCAGGGAGCTCGTGAAATCTCTATCTTGGAGACATTCAGGATTTGGACTCCTTGAAAGCCATTGATATTACCTCTGCTTTTGCTCTACTGCACCTGGACATAGCGTGTTCTGGAGAATCTAGCCAAAACCCAAAGGGAGTCACAAAGTACAAAGACCCAGAGCAGCAGGCTCCTAATTTCACCCAATGCTGATCTTCCACGTCACAGTCCCTAAAACACCAAAGAGTAATCTGGGTCACTCTTAATCTTTGAAGGTTTGTGCCTCAGGGTATATGATGTCATCTTCTTGACAAATATTTAAAGATTTGCCCACTTCCCATGGGTATTTCAGGGACTGAAGTCACAGCTGCCATTTTGGAAAGAGGCTTCATCCTTTACTTTCTGCTTAGTAGAAGCAAGTGCTTCTGCCTTCTCATGCACACGGGATCCACCACTTGCCTGGGCAACAGCTGGGCCTTCATTACTCTGAGGGCAATGAGAGGCCCTGGGTCTGCTGACAAGGAGAAGAAGACAAAATGCCTTGATTAGAAACAAGCTTTCATTTCTGAAAGATAGTATCTACAATTCATGGTACCTTTTAAGGAGGAAAAACTCATGAATTCAAGCAGATCTGGTTAGAAGAAAGCCTGGGATGGTGGGAAATGATGTATGGGGTGCATGCAAGAGAAATATGGAAGGAGGCAGGCAAAAAGGGGAAAGAGTATGGAAAGATGCAAAAAATCGGTGGCAATAAGAGGTATGGAGAAGGGACTGGCTACACACTCCTTTATTCATTTAGCTTCTAAAGAACTCGTATATTTTCTTATCTAAAAGTGGAATTTTTTTCCTTCAGCAAAATGGTAATTCTGCTCTTTAGTGAACTGCTGAAGAAAGAAAATTGGGTGATTTCAGAATAGGAAAAGAGACAAAAAGTCAAACACATCTTTAAAGAAAAGCATTTAATCTAAGACACAGCTGAAAGATACCTCCATTTCTGTTAAAAAGGTTACAGGTTAAATTTTTGAAAAATCCTTGTAAACCTATACTTCTAGGGTTTATAATGACTGTTTTAGGGATCCATTAAAGCAACATAGCATTTTACCACTGCTTATGGCTGTGTGGTTAACATTCCTAAGTCACAATTTCAATTCACCATTAATGACTTCAACTATTGACTGCTGGGCATTATAGAAAATGAAATGAGAATCTTTTTCTGAAAGCATCATGTACTGTTGGCTGTTGGAGGGGAAGTGCCAGCTCAGTTGAGTCAACAGCCTTTTCCAATATCTAACAAAGTGCTCAATACCCCAGTACCTCCAATTAAAAATGCTATTTCAACCAGGGCTCTTGGCTTTTTAGCTTTAAATTGCTGGAAGTAAAAATTAAGTCAGATGTCTTTGCTGGTATTTATGTATTTACAGATTGTGTGATTTTTTATTTTTTTTTCTTCGTTTTAGGTCTTGGCTTTTGTAATTCTATTGTAAATGGCCCTACTAATGCAACAGTCCTTGTTGGTTCAGAAGCCCGGTTTAATTGCACTGTTATGAAAGGATGGGTCATTCTCATTTGGTTGTTCAAGGCAAATCCTGTCCTCACTGTCATTAATCCTCAAGGAGCTATTGAAACATCAGACCGCTTCACATCTCAAAATTATACCAATAATGATGAATTTACCTCAGAGCTGATCATCCACAACACGCAGCTAGATGACTCTGGAAAAATTGAATGCAGCACCCAGCAAACTGGTGAAAGCAGCTTTGCCTTTCTTTCTGTTCAAGGTATGTATAGCTACCAATAGAAAGCTATTTTATTGTACAACACTTAAAGATATCCTCTGACGGATTGCCCAGATTATCTCTGTGAAGGAGTACGTGCTCTCATTCACCATCATTTGTCTTCCTTCTTCTTTATCTTAATTTTACTGTCAAAGCAGGTTTCAGAGTCACATTCAAAGTGCCATTAATAAAGGTTTGAACTGTCCTGCCTTTTTTACTGTTATATCTCTTATTCTTTATTGGATTTCATTTAAAGTGCCTGGAGGCTTTAGCAGGCCCACCAGCAGTCACTCAAAAGCAATCTTTTGGCTAGAAACAGTATGGATTACTTCCCTCCACACAGGCATGTCTTTGTGCATGAACCTTCACTGTCTTTTGGACAGATCTCCCTCCTGCTTTCTAACTTGGGGGTCAGTCTGTACCCCACTTATTTGAGTTTGATTTAATGGTGTGTAGAAATAAATCCTTTGAGACACAAAGCAATGCTCTTCGTATGACTGCTGCTGCGAGCTACCATTTCCAAGGAACAAAAGCTCCTGCATATCAAGTCCCTGTGTATGAGACCTCTTCCTCCTCTCTGAAGCTTTAGTAATGACAGAGTGCAGCCAGTAAAGCGGAATCTAACCATCAGACACTATCCATTTGTCAGAGGTGCTTAGTGCAGTGAGAGCATCTCATTGTCTGTCTGTAAACTTTTGCCAAGAAAACCCAAGAGCATACTTAAAACTTACAGAGAAACATTGTTATTTCATTATGCTGTCCTTCAGCTATAAATATATAAGGATGCCTAAAAAGTGTAATTTTTTGCTTTTTATTGAAAAGATACTGAAAGCTGAAACTTGTGCTGTAGACACACTGGACAACGTATCTATGAAGTTGCAATATCTGCATGTTTATGTCATGCATATGGTATATCTGTGTTAACAATGACTGTTTTTAAATTCATATCTCAAGATATAGCTAATTTTGGGCAGCAAGGTAAGATTTAAGACTATCAGCAGGAAAACAATGCAGATAACTATTCTGAAGGAAAAAAACATCTTTTCCCTCCCACAGTTAATGGATCTTTATTCATCAAAAATAGCACCTTAACAGTTAAAGAGAATGAAACACTTGAAATTGTTTGTGAAGCCTTAGGATGGGCTCCAGCTCCAGACATTACTTGGATGACAAATGACTCTCTGATTGATAAGTCGAGGTATGTTACCCAGCAAAGTCAAGGATCTAATGACCTCCACAATGCCTTGAGCGTCCTGACTTTGACTCCAACAGACACTGAGATTTTGACTTGTTTAGCTGATATAGAAGCACTCCCTAGCCCTCAGAATGCAACTATAACTGTTTTCTTTGTCAACTCTACTTCAGGTAAGTGAATGTTTATTGTACTTTGCCTATGCTATTTTCTCAGAACTGTCCTTTATACTTTGTATTGTTTTGAAAAGTATTTTATTTGCAAATTAAACACTGTGAGATATGCAAAGGTGATAGAAGTAGGACTTGATAGTCACAAACTGATACGTAGGTACAGTTAATTTCACCTCTGTGAAAGGACTGGTACAAGTCTAATAAGCCACAAAGTCCACTTAGACCAAAGAGCCATTGTGCCTGCATTCCTTTATCTGTCATGTTCTTTTTTGCATCCTAGAGGAAAATAAAAATTGTCCTACAGCAATATACATGGAATTCTTTGGGCAATGCATTGGTTGCTTATTATTGCCTTTTATTTAAGGAAATTCAGTGTCTAAGCCAAGTGTGAATGTTGAGCAGACAGCAAGAACTGCTAGCAAGACTATGATAACCCTAAGCATTGTTACTAATGTTGTCAACACATATATATATACTTTCATAATACCACAAATCTTTGGCCTTACTGACAACCTATGAAAATATAGGAAGACAATGTCAGATCGTGCTTAGGAGCATTTATCTGTTAGGACTGGCCAAGTGTCTCAACTGTAAGGGAGAAGACTCTCAAGACAAACTGAACTTGAAGCACTAATCACATGGCAAGCAGCTGAGGTTTCTGGGCATAAGTGCACTGCCACTGATGGTGTGACATAGTCCACCCTGTGGTGACAGCCTTTAAATTAGCCTTAGCCTGTGGTATGGGAAATGCATGGGATGTATGGGCTGGGTTTTTTTTTTTTTTTTTTTTTGCAACAAGTCTATACAACCCCAGCTGCCTGCTGTGAGGAGTAGGGCCTAGAATCTACATTTCTTTTTATGATGTGGTAAGCATCATGAACTTGTATAATCAAATTGACAGCTTCTCTTGATGAACTGATTCATTTACTGCAATGGGTGAATGTGCCACATACGAAAACATTCTCATAGTGGATTGATGAGGGGTATGTTTTAGAAGTTTTTACATACAAACAAGTGAGGAGGCTGAGTAACTGTGCCTTTTATTTTATGGATGAATCAGTATTAGAAAGTCTTTTCAGAAGTACTTGCTTTGTAATGCAGTTGAAAAAGGTCATTTCACCATTCTTAATATGACTATTTTGTAGTCAGATTGCTCCTAATTACTGACTAAGCAAAATAGAACTATCCTTAGGAAATTAATAAATTCCCCTGCCTACTTGTTTGTGAAGTACTGAGGTATCCACCCTCAGTTACCATAGCTACTCATTGTAAATCAGAAGAGGAGAAAAACAGATGTCATGAAGCACAATTAGTATATAATTAGTGATTGTATAGGACATAATTCATTGCTCTTTGGAAAAATCATTTTGCAGCATCAGACACTCAAAATTTGTCAGCAGTTGAGAATATGAAGTCTTCAGATTATTAGAATGAAATAAAGACATGACACTTATGGCAGAAGAAAATTTCTAATGTATGTCACATGTAAAATCTCAGGGCTTGTCTGACTTCTCATATGCAGACTCAACCTCAGCTAGATGGTGTCAGGAATGAAGATTAGCTTTAAAAATTTAAGAAATCCTTCCCCAAAACTGTTCTATTATTAGTTTCATTTGCTCCTCCTCCAGAGGTACCTCACTCACAGCACAGTTTTGCTGGGCCCCAGATTTGGGAACTTCTATGGAGTTATTGCAGCAGATTTATTCACAGAGCTATTATTGGAAAATGAGGTCCTCAGTAGAGTCCTTTAGCTGGTCCCAAGCTCTTTGTGGCTTCGGTGGTGACTGCATGTGTTCTTTGTACTGCAGAAGGTGAATGTAGGGAATCCACAAAGAGCCAGATCTTCCTCTGTTTTTTATCTTAGGAAAACTCCAAAGTGTCCAAGAAGTGATATCCATCTTTTTTTCAGTCTCTTCTTTCTCCTTGGTCACAAGCATGTGCCTGGGAAAATTCCCTTTTCTGCAGATACTTTGCCCAAGTAAATTCTTAGGCAGCTTTAGGAGGAACCAGGTGTCAGAACAGCAGCTGAGAATGGGCCCTATGGAATGAGGAGGTGGCTTTGTACACACCAAACACTTAATGTGGTGTGGATTTGCTCCTACTTTCATGTTGAGCTGGCAGCTCCTGTATTCATGCCTGCTGGTCCCAGCCCCAGTTTCTTTCTGGATCCTCCAAAACTGGGGAGAAGCTGCTATGCTGAAGAGCCAGGAGTGTTTGTGTTGTATCCTGTCCTTACTTCAGCTTTGTAGAGCCTCTTTGGACATGTAGCCTGAACCTGACAGGGTGGAAAATACCTCGGTCTGGCAGCGAGCTTGGGCGTATGCGCCTGTGTAGGTGTGTTTTGCTCCTCCCTTCATTGCAGAGGTTAAATTTAGTTCTATATTTAAACAACTACGTGTTTCATATCTTAGCCATCTTGAAACCCTGTGGCATGTTTTATGGAATGAATTAGGATAATATATATATATTTGTTGTGGTACTTCTGGATGAAAAAATAATGAACAAGTTTCTCATCAATTGTAATCACAACTGATTACAGCCTACGGATTTAACTACTAGTCTGCAGGTTAGTGAGTGCTTGTTTTCTCTAATTGTCAGAAGAAATTCAAAACATGCTGATTGTGCATTAGGATTAAAGAAGACTGGAACAAATTGCTTAATCATAATGACCCGAGCTTTGGATAATTCAGACTCCTAACAAAGGTTCAAGCTTTGTAGGAGGCTCTGCTCCTGTACCTTTGCAGCCTCCAAACCTCAAGCAAACCAGGCAAATCCATAGATTTGCTTCTTTATTCCTTACTATAAGTAAAGCATTGGGTACCCTGGGTCATACATCAGGGGAATAGCTCTGACACTGTGAAGCTACCAGACATCTACACGTCTGCGGTACTTTTCCCAGAGGCTGCCAGCTGAATGTAACCATGCAGTTGTTAACTGGGACTTCAAATGAGGACATGACAATCATGAGCCCAGTGTGACAGAATGGGTATTGTTGGGTTTGGATGCGTTTCACACCTGTAATTTGGATTGAAACATTTCTCTAAACAACTGTCAAAATGATTTGGGGGCTGCTTTTCAAAGGGTAGACAAATTAGATGTAGTTCTAAAATATCTGGTCAAAACCAAAGGGCAGGATGATGTGGCAGTGAGAACTGACACCTTCCTTATGCACCCAGCTGCGTAAGAAACTTGGGGTATTTTTAAAGTTCTGTGATGCAGGAGCTCTCTTAGGAAACCTGTTCATAGCAACCAGTTTCACCAAGATGTTGAATTATCTTGAAATCACCTCATCTAGCACTGTAGATTACAGCAAAGACAAAAGAATAATTTAATGTTGTTAAACTGCCAGTAGTGAAGATGGGTTAGTAGCTGCAGTATCCTGAACTGTGCTACAGTTCTTGGACTTCACTGCTCTTTAAGTGAAGACCAAATAGATGACCTACAAAGCATGTCCCAAAATCAAACACCTGCTGAAATTAGTGGGAGAAATTCCATTGTGGGATTCATCAGAAAGTCAAATCTACAGGCTAGAAATCTCCACCTGTACTAGGCACCTAAGACTGTGACTGTGGTCAGTGGGGAAAAATGGACACTTCTTCAGAGCTGATCATCTTAACCAGAGGGACACATATACATTTGGCCAGGTGAATGGTAACCCAAAATACCTGTTTTCTCTCCACTGACAAAAGTAGCTAGGCAAGATGCTTAATATCTGCAGTACAGATATCTAAACTGAATCTTAACTTCTATCCCCAGCCCAAAAGACCTCCAAAGGATGATGGGACACTCAGCATATCTGCAAAATAAAATTTTGGTGGGAGTATTTTTGGAATACTTGGTTGGAATATTTTTTTCTGAAAGAAATGGCTGTCAGAAAAGTTACCATTGCAATAAAGAATTTTATTTTGGAAACATTTTGAGAGCTTGGCCACCATTCATAAATAGAGAGACCATCATCTGGAAAACACAGCCTCCTTGCTAAATAGTCAAGAAGCAGTTAATAGGCTTTCACAGAAAAGTTAAATATTTTGAAAACAATGTTTTGAGACTCTGATAAAACAATATTTATCCATTCTGATGAAACAATATTTATCCATTTAATTTAACAGAAAATGGTTACAGTGAAGACAGCATAAGCACATGGGTTATTGCACTTGCAGTCGTGTTTTCAGTTGTTGGTTTTATTCTCCTGGTCATTATTATTGTGGTTGTCGTACGCTGCTGCTGCCTAAAGAAAGGTAAGTGGACCTTCACAATTGGCCTATACATTAAAAAGTACCTTAAATTAGATATAAATCTACTACTTATGACAGTCCTTGTGTAGTGCAAAGACCTGTAAGCAGAAATGCAAGCAGACTGATCATGCCCTTAACCATGACCAGCTTAAGATGCTCCCTACTCTCACCTTGCTTTTTCCTGTAACTCGGTCCCAAAGTAGTCCGTGGCACAGAGTTTTGCCACTCGTGTTAACAACAAGGGCATTTCAGGAGCGCGTTAACTTCCAATGACGTTTTGTTCCTGTCTTGAAGTTCTTTGCTGAAACCTATCTTAAGGGCTGTGATCCTGATTTCCAGTTTCTTTGTAAGCTGTCCTGTGGGGCTATTGCACAGTCCTGGAACTGAGGGGAGATGCTCCCGTGGTGGCTGGAGCACAGTGCACGCTCTGAGACGAGCTCTCTAGTAGGTCGTGTTTTATTTTCCAGCATTTTAAATAAATTTTTCTTTTTCCCCCCAGGATCCACGTACGAAAGTGAAGCAAGGTAAGCTGAATAAGGTGTGAACAGCAGGCTGCCTGCCTCTGGGTCCCGGGCGTTTGCCAGCACGTCCACAGGAGGTCACTGTGAGCCCAGCAGCGGGGCCCGGGGCTCCGCGGCAGATTGGCAGGCAAATAAAATAATAAAATAAAACAAAACATAACAAAACAAAATAATAAAGTAAAATAAAACTAAACAAAATAAAATTAAACAAAACATAAAATATAATAAGCTGCCCCGCTGGTGAGTGTCGACACTTAATCAAGTGATTACCAGGCGTGCTTGAATACCAAGCTGTTGGTACGTCATTGCATGGAGTTGAAAAATGTTAAAAATCCTGAGTTGATGGGTGTGAGTATTAAGGTCCTATCCATTATCAGTAGTGCGGCTCTAACAGCAATGTCAGTGAGGTTACCAGAGTTACTTTTCTAAGCTGCTAGGGAGCGGTGTAAATTCATGCACAGCTTGTGCTTGCAGGGCATCTACCTCCCTGTCTCTTAATGAGTTTACAAAACGTTACGACACCTTGCCTCTCATTTTGGTAATACCTAGCTTCATTAACAGCCTGTTGTGGGGAAATTTTGTAAAGGTCTGTTGGCAGATTTCCACTTATACACTATTTTTGGACATGAAATAAAATAAAAACAATACTGTTTTCTCCGGAGGAAACAATGCTAATCCTACCATGCCATGCCGGTAAGCTTCCATGTGACTTCTTAGTTTATGATGCTTAATCGATCATTTTACCAAGTGCAGCTACATAAATAGGGCAAGACTACATCAGCAGGGAACGGGAGGTCAAAAGCAAGTGCAACTTGCATATCGGTTTTGGTATGAATACAACACTACAAAACCTTTTTGCTTCGATTCTGACCTGGCTGTGCCACAAGCCCTTTGCAAGGGTCAATCCTGCTATGACAAAATCAATTGTACATTCAGGGAGGCATTTACCCAGCCGCAGGGACTGCTATGGCCAGGTCCATGCCCTTTCCAGGGCCTTGCCTTGCTGGTGCTGCCCCTGGAGGGTACGGCACTGTATGGGCTGCTGCCGGGAAAGTTAACATTCCAGCCAGACCCAGTACACTTCTTACAGGCAACACAAACAGACCCAGAGGAGGGTTTAGCATTACTTTTTCCCTATGTCTTTGAATCTGGTCTAGAGCAAATATTCATGAAAAAATCTTAGTACAGTAAAGCTCCTATTTTCCCATTAACTTGAATCATGAGTTGTCATTCCAGCTTTGTAGAAGTTGCTTGCAGCCTGAGAGTTAAGCAAAAGGTAAAGAACGTGCTTAAGCACTGGGCTGAGTCCAGGCTTTATGGATTAGCTGGGACAAGTCAGTGTTGACAGTTGCACAAAGGCTTAGTGTTTTTTTTTTTTTTTTTTTTTTTTTCTTGGGGGAACCTACCTGCAGTAAAAAGAATAATGACTGTCCAGATTGTGCAAGCTATGTTGAGGTAGTAATGAAGAAACAGTGAGACTAAAGATATATTGTTTTGATTCCTACAACATTTATTTTTAACTCGGCTGGTTATTTTTCTGTACCTCCCACACTTTTTTGTAACTGATTTTGGCTTGGCTACAATGCTGGATTTGTTGAGACCTAAGGATCAGATAAAATAGACTGAAGACCATCTTGTGGAGGTAGTTCTCCTAAACAATTGCTATCTCCTATCAACCATGACGGGTTTCTTTGTGATATTTAACATGTTTATCTCCTAAAAAAAGCAACCATGTAGTCACAGCTGGATAGTCAGACTTCCGTGTGCATCAGAAATACTCATCTGAAGCTCTACAGACCTGTAAAGTGATTCTTACTGAACATAAATAAGTTGATGCAACGGTTTCCACAAGTACTGCTAACCGAGAATATTTCCATCTTTCCCTACAAGTCCCTGGATCATCATAATCCTGCCATCAATTTATGCTGGCCATGCTATAAAGCTGGGCAAAAATGGACCTGGGATTGTCCCAGAGAGGAATCTGTGGTTAGAACAAATGAATAGTAGCATTTTTCCTAGCATAAGTTTTGAGTAAAAATGCCCTCTTTTACTCAGTGTGTAGCTCTGCAGGTCACCTTTGCAAGTTCAGAGATGCATAACTTTAACCAAAGAAGTTCTATCAACTTCTTTGTGACTGTGTTCATGTGCAGAGTAAATTAACTCTGGGGTGTACAGGTAAATCACCTGAGAGCCAAACTGTGTTGATGTGAGCTGGCATGCTTTCTTATTGCAGTTGGGTGGGTTCAGTCAAAAATGATGAGTTGCTGTAGATGACTTGACTGGTATTCCCTTATTGGGCCACTGACAATCCTGTAATTCAGAATTAGAGATAAAAAATAATTTCCTACAAAGCTTGTGATCTGGAACAGAGTCTTCACTCTGAGAAGATTGCTTACTCTATTTTCCTTCTTGCTTGTAAAAGAGCTGATGGAAACTTTCTATCCAGAACTTCATAGGCAGTATTTATATAGGACGAGATTTGCAGTAGCTGAATATTTGGAAGGCCCAGATGTATTTTGTAACTATTTTTTTCAAAAGTGGGACATATTTTCTCTGATGCCTACTACCCAAGAGTTCTCATATCATAATGAAGTTCTAATGACAGTATTTTTTTTTCCCTAGGAAAATTTCAGCTACAAAGAAAACAGATGGCCATGCAAAAAATGGGCAAAGGAGTGGTAGTGAAAATGAGGGATACATTCCAGAGGAACCACAGCACACAGGACGAATCCCTAGTGAGTGAATTGCATATCGTCAAGCTGTTTTTCAACACAGGCACACAAGTGTTTGGATAACGCATCATGTAATTAAAGAACAAGATTCCACAACACCTTATGAAGGACTTGTTCTCATAAAATTTTGGATCATCTGGAGTACAGTCCTTCAAAAGCGTTGAGAAAACATCCAAGTTGTTTGGAGCTGAATTTACTTGTAATTATGCATTTTTGTTTTGTTTTGTTTTGTTTTGTTTTGTTTTGTTTTTAACGACTTTGTTCTTCCAAATACCTTTGAGGGCCAGTACTGGACTATCATATGATTGTTGATTTAGGCAACATTTTGCACATTGGACTGAAAAACAAAAAACAAAGCAAAGCAACAAAACATAAACCAACCAAACAAAAAATGAATTAAAAAATAAATAAATAAAATGAAAAAGACATCCACAGGAAACACAGGAGACATGACAATTGACATTTTGAGGAAGCTCTTTTCCTTCAGTTAGCTCCTGGGACTTGTGCTACATCCCTGACTACAGCTGAATCTCTGAAGGTTTTAATGCTCATTCATTATTAGCTTTTTATTTTTTATTTTTTTTGTTGTTGTTTTGTTAGTAGCTTTTTCCTGCAACTGAAAAATAATAATATTTTTGTTAATTAATTATATAAGTTATTGCAAGGTTCATCTGTGCAACGTTATTGTCCAAAGTATTCCCTTTGGTAATGATATTTCAGGATATCATATCACTATCCTCACCTTACTTTCAGAGAGTGTTTCCATTTTCTTGGGGAATGATATAGCCATAGGTAAAAGAATGCATCCATTTGTTGTGCTGAGTAGCATAAAGCATTGTCTCCAGCAGTTATACCATAACAAGACACATAACAGAGCAAGAACGTCTTTATACATGTCTTTTCTTCCGCTCCTTTCCCCCAAGGAATTCCATGAAAAAGAGAAGCAATGATGCTCAGTTTCCAGTCTCACCTGTTGACTTGAAAGACTTTGAGTATATCAAAATTTCTGAGACTCTTCAATAAGTTCAAATGTTATTGAGTTACTGAAGTGGGTGGAGATTCGCATCCACAGTGAGCATAAGCAGATATTATTAATTTCCGTAAGAAACCAGGCTTACAATTACATTTTACAGCAATGGTTCTTATGAATTTTATTTATCTGTGGTCTCTATAGAATAGTTACTGCACAGTGACTGCAGAGCCATGACAGGGTAGAAAATACAGACAGGTAGGGGGGCAGGGGTTAGAAGAAAGCTTGTTTTTAAATGGCTTATGTTTTCCACGTGAAAACAGTTGAGCAACCATTCTTTACAGTCCTTTTCCTCACATTGCTGAATTCATTAATAAAAATATGCTAGTGAATTATGATTTTCCTGATAAATGACTAAGGCATTATAAATTCTAGTCCTTAAGCACAAAGCCTCTTCAAAAGCAAATGTAAGTCTCCACCAAAGCTTTACCCAGCACTTGCATTTAGAACTGCATTATTATCAAAACGTTTAATCAAACACTTAATGGCATAAAATTATTGTGCAGAGTCTATAATCCAGGCATATACCCTTGTCTCTCTAACAAATAAATTGTGAAGAAATAAATACAGTGGAAAGATTTCAAGAGCATGTAGTATTGTAAAATGTAGCAGGTTCAAAAAATAAAAGGAAAACTAAGATAAACCCAGACAAATTTATTCTGCTGGCTTCTAGATAGGCTTCTTTCATATTCATTAACTAGTGTTTGGCTGACAATATTAAAGCATATTTAGCTGTATTCCTGAATGGCTTGTGGTTATACTATATGTGGTTATACTATCGTGGATACTGAATAACAGTAATTTTGTATATTCTTATTACAGGAATTGTCCCTCCTCCTCCAATGTCTACAAAGTTCACTGTCCGTGATGCAGATTTACAAACCAGGTCTGCACAAAAGGTAATTGTAATTATTTATTTTTATTATTTTTTTTTTCCACACAGTGCATATTGTACTTTAACCAAACATAGATTTTGGGTGGATGTAGATTTTAAAACTCAATTACAGCTGTAATTGGATAAGTGGAATGATCCCTTAAGCATTCCTGAATTTTCTGTTTATAATGATGCATGCCTTGTGTTTTAGTCTTGCATTTAGATTGATTTATTAGGGGGTGGGAAGTGGGGGAGAAACAGACACCCCGGATATTTGGAAGAAATGTCTAATAATGCTTTAGCCACCATCTGTTCTACCCAGATTCCTGTTACATCTTTCTCCCCACCTCCTAGCCTAAAGTTATAGAGTCACAGACTGTTCCTCCTCAGTCTGTGTCTGCTTTTTCATTTCCATTGCTGCTCATATTTTTCTTCCTCCAAATGTCAGCAGGGACTTTCTCCCAGCACAGTCGGTAGCCCTGACTAGGACAGTGTTACCATAGGAAAAAGCCTTCTCATCATATCCAGGATTAAAAAGTCACCTTCTCTCTGACCAGCCCACTTGATACCACTAATTACATCTTCCACCCTCACCAGACAGAATAACTCTGGCTCAGCTTTTGAGAATTTGTCTCTGCATACATTAAGCCATTAATATGGAGGTTTGCTTTGCTCCAGGTGTGTAATAATGCTGGACAGCTGTTACACATGTACTGCCGCAAAAGTAGATGTCTGCAATGTTTGTTTGTTTTTTTTTTCTCACCAGTCTCCAGACTAGACAAGCTGTGGATTTGAGATGGAAGCACCATTGAATGTGGCGCTTGATGTTCCTTTACAAACAAAATCCAGTGTAGATGCAGTCAGTAAAAGAGCTTTTTCTCTGGATAATTTAAAGATTGCATTTTCCAATTGCACTTCCATACTGCAGAAGTTTCTTCAGTCAGGAGCTTAGCACCAATCTAAGAGACCTTTGGCATCTCAGCAGTAAATGATGGAAGGGGAAGCAAGGAACCAACATCCAGTCTACTCTCATTTTTTGTCCCCTTTCCACAAGACAAAAAGCATAAAGAAGCAGGGTTCAGTATTTATTCCTCTACTTCTTTCATCCTCATCTGCCTCTATTCTGAAGCATGGTGGTAGGCTCTCAGCTTCTTGCACAACAGCAACATGGATCTTAATTTATGCCATACATTTATAAAATACATTTAACATCTTCATGATTTTTTTTTTTTTGCCAATATTCTCCTGGGAAAATAGCAGTACCAAGTTCACCATTCAACACAGCGATAACTCGTTTATTTCTGAAGATATGTTTCAACATGTGCAATGCAGAAATCTGTCTTGAGATGACATTGCATATAAATCATAGCAGAGTATGTCTTGTTCTTGCAGCACACAATAAAATTTAGGAAGTACTCAATCGATGATTAAAGCAATGATCACAATAATAACAGTAAATATAATAGGAATGATAATGATGTATCTGTAGCTGGTAGTTATTATGTTTGACATTAATTACTTGTTAAACAAAATATTATAAATGCGAAGCTGAAAAGCATGCTCAACACAGCTGAGGGTTGAAACATGAAACTGAAACACAAAGGTGCAGCCCTCTATGGCAGATGCTGGGTAGGATGGCCTAGGAGGTCTTTGCAGCTGAATATCTAGGGAAACTTTGATACCCATCAGAGGGACACAGCATAGAGTTGAACCATTTCTGTTAAACCACTTGTCCCTGGGCAATATTTGGTACTAGTCTGCTAAGGTGGCTTCTAGTTGCTTTGGTAACTGCATGCAGATTTTGAAAGGTATTGAGAGATAATTTGCAGGTGAAAAATATTTATATATATTTTTTAATATGTTGAAGGAATATTTAGCAATCTAAAATTGGCTCGTAAACAAAAACTACTTCTCAGTGTGAAAGGGCTTCTCAGCATTTTGCGATGGCACCATCTTGTACATACAGGAGCTGATAAAGGAAATGCAAATATTGTCTGATGAATGTTTTACCTAAAATTGTGGATTTACAGTTTATGATTTAGGTTTATGGGATTATATAGAAACATAGTGAAACATTTCCCAGGCAACATACAGTGTTTTTGTCTTTTACATTCATAACCTTCCCTGATAAATGCAAAAGCTCTCTTTTCTGACAAAGAGGTGAGTTACTGGATGCATTTTAATAAAGTTCAATCACCACTGTAGCCAATATATTGCATAATAAACATTGTGGTGCTCCTTCATTATAACACATTTTTGGGTCAATCAGCAGAAATTAGGTGGCAAGCCATTTAACTGTTTGCTGATAAGTTGTGTTTCTCAGTTCCCTTTCCCCATATGGATCCTGGAAATTTTCCCAAAGGATTTGGGGATTTTTTTTTTTTTTGATTTTTTTAATGAGAAATGGAGGGAGAACCAGTGAGAACCAGGACAGAGAGGGGTTGCTCAAACAATTTTCTGCAGTCAAGGAGTCTGTATAGTGGTGGACTCCAGCAAGTTACCATTCTCTCTCCTGGGTAATCAGGAAAAATGAGCTAACACCTTTGTGGTGCTTCCATGGGGGTCAGTAAGAAGCGAAGAGCCCAGGTTCTCCCTCAGGAGCAATATGGGGAGGGAACAAGGAACCCAGCTACTGATGGGAAGAGTCACGGAGACTGAAGACCTAAATTTTTGTCTCTCCCTCTCTGCAAGGTGAACTTAAGATTTCTATAGCTGGCTTCCTTGGAACTATGTGGTGTTGGGATTCACTACAACTACAAGGCCAGAAAAGAGGGCCAAATGGGCAAAATTTGAATGGAATTCAGAATTAAAATTAGAAGAAACTCATGGATATGGGGACATGATGGAAAGCAGGGCAGTCGTGGTGAATGAAGATTTTTCAACTGTATTTTGACTGGGCAAGGGAAAACATACCTGCTACACAGTACGTTTCCCCCACTGCCAGGAGAAAACTAGATCATAGAATCACAGAATCACAGAATTTCTAGGTTGGAAGAGACCGCAAGATCATCGAGTCCAACCTCTGACCTAACACTAAGAGTCCCCACTAAACCATATCCCTAAGCTCTACATCTAAACGTCTTTTAAAGACTTCCAGGGATGGTGACTCCACCACCTCCCTGGGCAGCCTGTTCCAGTGCCTAACAACCCTTTTGGTAAAGAAGTTCTTCCTAACATCTAACCTAAAACTCCCCTGGTGCAACTTAAGCCCATTCCCTCTCGTCCTGTCACCAGGCACGTGGGAGAACAGGCCAACCCCCACCTCACTACAGCTAGATGGGAAGTTTCAGCTTGTATAAGCTCCACCAGCACAGACTGGAGACATTAGAAATCTCCCTGGGTCTCTGAGGGTATCAGCTCTAAATTTGATACCTTTTGTTCCATATGTAAAAGGATCCAATTTTAAATGATTTGAGAGATTAATGAGGACTCTGTATCAAAGATTTCAATTCCTCAGAAGTCTTTGGCCATTGACCCAACATGGTCAACAAAGCCTGAAACACCTGCTGGGTCTCACAGTAAAAAGTGACAACAGAAATTCACGTAGGTGGTCAGCTATGGGCCAATCAAACTCACTGAGTCAGAAACTAAAGCAAAATATTCACAGAAGATAAATGTTGTCCGGTAACTGCACTGATAAATTCACAACATGAACAAAAGATCTGGCAAGTCATCTCAGGGAAAAGTAATGCCTAAGTGAAGGAGGAGGGAAAAAAAAAAAAAAGAAAAAAAAGAAAAAAGAAAAAAAAGACATGCTAGACATTAAAAAAAATGAGGAATATCGAACTAAATTATTGAGCTGAGGAAAAAATTACCCACCACTAGAAGAGGAGGCCAGGAGCATCAGTCAGGGGTGCTGGAAGGTCCTCTTTTTGATTACATTAGCCAAGAAAAGGTCAAATGGAGAGTAGAGTTACTGGCTGCTGCTTAATTGCATATTTTGTTACCGTCAGCAATGGCAGGAGAGTGATCCTTGCTCCCAGTCCCAGGGCTAAGCTGCAGGCCAAGTGCCTGGGGGGCTGTTTCATACGCCCTAACCCACTACACAGAGCTTCTTCCAAAACCCAAGTGCAGTGTGGGGGATCCTTATCCTGGCTCTGGCAGATTTTGGGGTAGCCCCATGAGCAGCTTAGCCTGAGCAAGGGCCATAGGGCCACCTCAGAGGAATGGACATTTTGCAAGTCCCACTGCTACCAAAGGAGCTCTAGAGACTCAGGATCTTGCAGGACTGCACAGTCTCCTACACAAGAACCATAATTAGTCCATTTAATATGCCATAAATGTCTGTGATAAAACAGACTATTTAGTTAAAGGGAGTGCTCGTTTACAGTGGGACAGGCTCATCCGTGCTGTAATTCAGCTGACTTCAGCAGAGCTAGCCAAGGCTTGGATTGACCACCACAAGCCACACTCTTCAGTCCAGACCGAGTCACTATTAATGGGGACGGATCTATTTTTCTCCTTAACTACTCCAAATGACACTCTATAAACTGCAAATATTATGTAGCTGTGGTTGTGGTTGTGGTTTTATACCGAGGAGGTAATGAGTGATGGATTGTAGCTACATTTATTGCGTTGTATATAACTGCTCTGACTCCGTGGATTGTTTGAGAAGAAAAATTAAGCCATCAAAATCAAATTAAAAGACCAATAAAACAGAAATATAAACCGATGACAGCAAATAATTTTACCCTTACTGGTGGAACGTACTATAGAGTATGTCATGTTATGACATTCATTGGTCAGCATACCTTGATTAAGAGAGTAATAAATATTGATGATACAGATGTGGAAAGGCAGGTGCAGCTTGAAGACTGAAGCATAATTTTTTCCAAGTGTCTGTGGCAGAAGGGGAGCGGTGAAGCTCCATGGGTGGGAATAAACGACAAAGAAGTACGAAGGAATTGCCAGTTTGTGTGTCTGTTGATGGACAGGGAAATGTGCTGAGTGTACTAAGAGCTGACAGGATGGAACTGGTTTGCTATTTGAAGCAAGGGTGTATCTAAAATATTTTGAGGGTATCCAGAGTTTTTGGGTGGGTGTTTTCCTGTAAATGAAGTGAATTTAGAAAGAGAATTAAAAACTGAGGGAAGGGGGAAAAATAACCTTCAGAAAGCTGTGCCTCCATGATTTTTTGTTCTAGCAGTTAGCAGAATGTGTGATGCATGCAGACACATTTGGAAGTACTCCTACCACATTAATTTCAGCAATTTGTTCTAATGCAGTTAGACTTGGATTTTTTTTTTGGCTGGCTAATAGCAGGCAAAGCCTTCAGCTTGTCACACATTTCCACAGCGTCAGTGTCTGAGGAGCTGCCATCTGTCAAATCAATTTAGAGATCAGAGCCCTGTTTCATAATGCCAGATGTGTGTTCATCATTCATATCACTGATGTCATATGGGTTGCACAAATGACTACAACATGCTTGCAGTCGCAGAAGTCCTTTCTTCATTGACTGAAGGATTCAACCCTGCAATCAGCTGATACACACACTCATTTTGTCCTCTGATTCACCCATGTATTGCTGGAATTGCTGAAAGAGATGGAAGGATCTGGGCTTCTGTTTCCCCAACCAAACCACCAAACCATACAACGCTTTTCCCGGTGTAATAGTCCCTTTATACTAATCCTTATAAAAAGGCATCTGGGGCAGAATGGCAGTCAACAGGCAGGTCTTGAAATACAAAGGTTTAAATATGAAATGGCTCTTGTCATCCTACTCCTTTGTATTTTGCATTTATAATGCATTCTATTTGAGATCTTCCACAGCATCAGAAAGTGAAGTTTAGGTCAGTGAACCAGCAGCCCCAATTTCAGCAAAGTTATACATAGTTAACTGCAACCTCTGTGAGGCTATTCTACTTCAGAGAAAGCTCCACAGAAAATGGGACAGTAGCCAGCATGAATTGATAGGAATTCATGAAATTCTTCATTAATTGATATCACAGCACAGTGAGAATAAAATATAAGTAACACGGAGCATTTGCTCAAAAGCAGGTAACAATGCAAGATGAAGCAGGACAGAGAGGAACCAGGTCCAGTTGTGGGCACAGTCCCCACCCCAGCAGCAAACTTGCTGCTTGGCTCCTTCTTTGGTGGTGAGAAGAAGTGGCACGACAACGAATGGACTGGAAGGCTCAGTCTTGCAGATGATATTTTTAAGGCAAAAGAGGAATGCAGGGGTTACATTTTCCCAAGTGCTATCAGATAGGAATGAATAGTGCTGTTTAGCCCCAGCTGGTGCAAGTCCTCAGGCTGCCTCCTATTCATAAGCACACACAAAACAGGATCTTCTGTAGTATGGTCTCCTAGTGGCCATAAATTCTGCCCCTTTCATCAGCATTACCTGATGACCTTCCTGGTTAGTGTCTTTGTTCCTTCTGTAAATCCAGGTGCAAGAATATTTTTGTACAACAAATTCTTCAAAGTATTCCCACCCCCATATTTAGTGAAGCATGGGATTCAAATAATTACCTATGCCAGGAATTTTCAGAGACAGTGTTCAGTGAGGAGCTCTTGGACTCCCTCTGCAATTTTCCAGTTACTTGGCATGCGAACTAGTTCAGTATACTTTATACTCAAAGGACAATGTAGAGTATCTGGGAATGCTTGCTTTCCACAAATACAGCACTTGCCTTCAGCTTTTTCCAGCTGTTCTTTTTCTATTGTTCCACTCTACTTGTAAACGTGTTAATTTTTTGAAGGAGCGGTGGCAGAGAGCATCTCAAAACCTCTGCCCTAGTGAGAATGCCAGCCTTAGCAGACCTGTAACTGAAGGACCAGGAAATGCCAAGTAACTGTTCTGCAACAAACGGAGAAAATCGCATCATATATTAATCTCCAGGGTAACACAGGCCAGAGGAAACTTCTCACGTGCTCTGGAAATGAATGAGTGATGTCTCTGTTGAGCACCACTAAGGTCTTTGGGCTATGGCTGAACTATAAGAAATTAAGAGCAGCAGAGAGATCTTGGAAAAGGTCTTTTGAGCAGAGACAGGCAATCCTGTTACTTCCCAGAGCACCGCTCCTCTCTGCTGAAATAAACAGTAAAGGAGGGTAAATTTGGAAAACAGCAGCATGTTCTTGCAACAAAAAAAAGAAGGGGGAGGGGAGCGAACAGAGTTGTGTTTAGAACAGAAGGCATCTGTCTTATGAAATGTTTCTAGGATAGTTATATTTATCCCATGGTTTTCCTTGAGGTGCTGGGACTCATTAAATACCAGAGAAATGTTGTCCACATTTGTTATCTAACATTTTCCTCTACGGCTTATTCAATAACGTAGAGGTACCAAATACATTATTCATGATGTTCCATACTGGAAGAATACCAAGGCAATACAGGCTGTACATGATTAATAATTGAGAAACAAACTATAGGAAGTTTGGTCAATAGTTGGGAACCAGCTCAGGCTTGATAAAAATTTCGGCTGTGAAGAAAAGTGAAATTTCCATTAATGCGCAAGGGACTGCGACCAGGTGGGAGAATGCAAGGAACAGTAGCCAGCAGCAGAAGCATGAAAGTAATTGGGACTGGAAACCCACAGCACTGATTTCAAACGAGGACAGCGTTTTCAGAACTGCCGAGCTGATCTCACTGGGGTCAGCTTGAAAACACTGCTGTCGGTGGAAGCAGAATGATGCTAACCATGGGAACTTTAAAAAAAAGCCAGCCTTAGATAAACATGGAGATGTTGTGAATGTTCTTTCGGGTGTATGAAATATTGGCATGCTTATTGTTGCAATTTCCAGTGTATTAGGAAAGCAATGTCAGATGTTAACTTTTTATTACAGCTTATGGGTTAGTTTCTTTAAGAAAACTGGAGGGGAAATGCCCAACAAAATCTTTTGCTTGGAACAATAAGGACTGCAGAGCACACAAGTTCTTAGATAGCATAAGACCAATTAATGAATTCCCAAAATTGCCATCGGTGTATGCACGTGAGACTTATATAAGCTCTTTTTTTTTTTTTTTTTTTTGGTTTTATTCTGCCGTTCCTCCT